CCCAGGAGTTGGAGGTTGCTGTGAGCTGTGATGTCACAGCACTCTACCCAGGGGGACAGCTTGAGGCTCTGTCTCAAAAAAAAAAAAAAGAAAGAGATGTTTATTGTAAAAAAAATGCAAATGAGCATAAAGGAGAAAAAATCACCTGTAACCCCACTGTTAACATTTTGTTCTATATACTCCCTGTCCATTTTAAGCTTATACATATTTTTTGTTCTTATAAAAATAAATGATAGTGTTTTGTAACCTGTTTTCATCTAATATATTGAGAACATGTTTTCATGCCATAGTCTTTTCTTTCCTCTTTTCTTTTCTTTCCTTTCCTTTCTTTCTTTCTTTCTTTTGAGACAGATTTTCACTTTGTCCCCCCAGGTTGAGTGCTGTCCTGTCATAGCTCACAGCAACCTCCAACTCTTGGGCTCAAGCGATCCTCTTGCTTCAGCCTCCTAAGTAGCTGGCACTATAGTTTTTTTTTAAGTAGAGACAGGGTCTTGCTCTTGCTCAGGCTGGTCTCTAGCTCCTGAGCTCAGGCAATGGCCTCAGCTTCCCATAGTGTAAGGATTACAGGCATGAGCCACTGCACCCAGCCCATACATACTCTTATACATTTCTTATTTTTAATTGTGCTGATGATTGTATATATTTAACTATATGATGTGCTGTCCCTTAGCCCAACTTCTATTATTAGGCTTTTTGTTGTTTTTGTTTGTTTGAGTTGGTGTTTTTCTTTTATTATAAACAATACTGTGGTGAACCACCTTATGGCAAATCTTTGCAACATCTATAACTGTTAGGACAAATTCTTAGAAATGGGATTTCAGAGTCTAAGAGTAAATATAGTATGAATATTTTTTGAAGAATTTTACTGAATTATCCTTCAGAAAGTTGAACTGAGGTCCTCCCAAGTTATGTTTTTAACAAATGCATGACTAACAATTGTTGCATAAATTTATATAAAAAGTCAGGATGATTATATTTATGATCCATGTGATATAATTTATTTCTTACAGGGTCACAAGATGCTGCTCATGATCTGGATACACTGAAAAAGCACAAGGTAAAAAAATGCTTTAAGTCTGACACCTCATATAGGAAGAATTTTGTTACATTTATTTAGGAGAAACTGTATTGATTCATCTTTGGTACATTTCAGAGTTTTCTTTTTCTTTTTCTGAGACAGAGTCTCACTATGTTGCCCTCCATATAGAGTGCCATGGCATTACAGCTCACAGCAACCTCAAACTCTTGGGCTTAAGAGATTCTTTTGCCTCAGGCTCCTAAGTAGCTGGTACTACAGTCACCTGCCACAATGCCTGGCTGTTGTTCTGTTGCAGTTGTTTAGCTGGCCCAGGCCAGGTTCGAACTTGCCACCCTTGGTATGTGGATAGCACAGTAACCACTGTGCTGCAGGCACCAAGCCATATTTCAGAGTTTAAATGGTAACATTTTGGCTATCAAATTAATAAAGTTGCAAAAATAATTGCACCTAATTCATATTTGTGGATCTATATTCCATCTTTCCAATTTTATTTTCTTCTCAATCTCCTTCATATACCCTCATGAACCTGACCTTGGAGGCATATCTTTCCTGCTTCTGCTTATACAGTTCCTCTGTGTGGGACAGACTTTCTCATTCCTGCTTGTCAAAGACCTACCTATGTCTTCAGCCCCAACTCATGTACCACCTCTTCTCTAATGCCGTTTCTTCCCACCCTCCTCCATGCAACTGATACGGTTTGTTACTTATTTTGACATTTACTCAAAATAATTTTTAGCCATCTACCATTTTGTCAAGCATTGTTTCAGCTCATGGAATTGCTATGGTTGGAAGAGAGCAAGAGGTTCCTGTTCACTTGAAGCTTGTGATCTGAGGGGCAGAGAAAAGAGAGAGAGAAAAAGCAACTACAGGACAGCGTATCGTGTGCTTTGAAGGGAACCTGCAGGGTGTTACTGGAGGGCACAAGAGATGATGCCCTTACTCCATGTTTGTTTTGTTTTGTTCTGTTCTGTTTTTGGATAGGAGGGGCAGGTCAAGGAAGGCTTCCTGAAGGAAGTGATATTAAAGTTTGGGTCTGAAGGAGATGGGGAGGGAGCAGACAGAAGAGTATTCAGATTGAAAAAAAAAGGCCTGTGTGAAAGCTCAAAAGTAAGAAAAAGGCTGCTGCTTTCAAAGACAGAGAAGTTCAGTAATCCCGGAATAGAGAGTATGAAAAAGAAGGTGGTACCAAGAGAAAGCCCAGAGAGGTCAGCATGAGCCAGATCACAAAAGGCCATGTAAACCAAGGAAATTGTTTGGATTCACTCTAAAAGACAGTGAAAAGCCCTTGAGAGAGGTTTACCCAGGTAAATAATAGGATCGAATTTGCATTTAGATTGGAAGGTTGCTGGAGTAGAGATGGAGAGAGTTTAACTGGTCCTAACTGAAAGCTACTAAAGCTATTGCAGTAATCTTAAAAATTGTGATGGATGTGTTAGTTCAATGTAAGCATTTCACATTGTATATCAAATCAGTACACTGAACCCCATAAATGTGTCAATGTACACAGTTATGATTTAATAAAAACAAAAAAATAAAAAAGATATGGTGGCTTAGTTTGGGATGCAGTAGAGAGACAGAAAAGTGGATGATGGATTTGAGGGGGTTTTGTAGAGGGCAGAATTATTGCAATTTAGTGATTGATTACTTATGAAGCAGGAAGGAAAGAGGCTGAGGAGCAGGAATAATCGAAGCTGATACCTAGTTTTCTATGGTAACCAGGTAGGGTTTGTGTCATTACATGAGATAGGGGACCAGATAGAAGGAACAGGTTTGGAGGTAAAACAGTGAGCTCACTTTTGAACATTTTTAATTTCAGGTGCCATGGATCATCACAGCAAAGTTGTTTAGTAGTGTGGCTATGTGGGGTCTGAAGTTCAGAAAAGAGATATAAACGTAGATTTAGGAATCTTCAGCTTCTAAGTAGTGATTGAAATCATTGAAGTAGATTAAATCACCTGGGGAAAGGTAGAAGGAAAGTAGGGAAGAGGGCCTATAACAGAACTGTATGCCAACCTATAAAGAACAGGCAGAGGAAGGAGAGTCTGCAGTGGGAGAGGAGGTCATAAGATCAAAACACGTGTCATGGAAACCAGGGAGGGAAGAGCGGTTAAGGAGGAGAAAGTCAACAGTATTAGATGCTGTGAAAGTTTCAGTACAGTTGGGACTAAATTATGCCTGTTGGACTTCGTGACAAACTGGTTGTTAGTGCTTTTGGTGGGAAAAGAAGCTAAAGCCAAATTTGGAGGCCAAAGCCATATTTTAGAACATTGAGAATGGAGGGGCAGTGGGGAAGTGATGGCAGCCAAAGAAAAGAGAAAAGATGGATGTGATCTACAGATGATGTTGTGATCAGGGGAGGGAGATGGGGGAGTTTTGAGCATGTTTAAAGGTTGATTATAGAGAAGAGAATTGAGGATAAAGAAAAGCAAGAATTATGGACCAAACATAGAACTAGAATGAGCCTTATGAATAGAAAAGGAAGTTGTAGATAATGGACAATAGCTCAGTAGGTAATGAGTGAAGACAGGAGGGGGCTAATAGATTAAAAGAAAGTAAAACAATGGAATTGATGTTTCTTGTGAGGTCTAGTGTGAATAACTGAATGAAAGAAAGAGCTGTGAAGATAAGACTGCTATGCCTAAATTGGTTGAATCAGAGCTGGAGGAGTGAAGTAATGATGAAAGTTGCTGGAGATAAGGTGGGCTGGAGACTGTTAAACCCAAAGGGAAATTGATGTCAGCTAGAATTATGGTAGGACTTGGGGTAGGATTCAGCAGACTGAGAGGTACCCAAGGGAGATAGGGGGTGAAAGGTGGAAGGATCAGTTTGTAAGAACTCCAATGAGCAAGGATTTTTACTGTAGGGTGGAAAAGATGTGATTTCATAGACGCAGGGAATAGCCAGAAAGACTGCAGCTCTGACTCTCGCCCACAGGACAGATGGGGTATGTGAGAATGAAGAGTCTTTACTTGAAGGAGTATGGTAGTATAACATTCATACCTTACTCCCTTGTCCTTTCAGAAAATATTAAGCACCTATTTTATGCCAGTCCCCTTTCTACGTACAGAAAATAGGGAAATTAATAAGCAATAAAGTCCCTACTGTTAAAATATGATACTTTCAGAGGAGAATATATTCCCTATCTAAATTAAAGCATTAAAACAAGGCAGTGAGAGAAGTGGCAGGGGCGAGGGTGTATCACTGGTTACACCAGGCCTCTCTGAGCGTGATGTTTCCACTGGGGCCTGTGGGGCCTGTGACAGAGTTAGCGATGCTTAGATGGAGAAAGAGCACTGCAGACTGAGAAAACAGCAAATGTGGAGGCCCGGGGCCTGGAGGGGCAAGTTCAGCATTCCATTCCTCCTCTTGGCCCCACACCACTTTGTTCTTCTCCTCACTCTTAACCTTTTCTGTCTTATTCCCATCAGTGAACATATTTTCCCCTTTTGTATTTTTTTTTAGCAAGTTTTTAGAGGTCAAGGCTTTGTCCTATTTATCTTTGTCATCCACAGCTCTGAGAAAAAAATTTGATTGCATTGAAGATAAAAAATTTTATGTGATAAACACAATCATTTTTTGCAAGAAAAGAACTGTGTACTAACCAATTCATTAACTAGTTTGATATTTTTACTTGCTAAATTACTGACTTGTGTTTAAACTGGACTCTCCTTGGTTTGTTATAATAATTGCTGTCTGACAACAAGAAATAATGGCCTTGAATTGCATAAGGATATGAGAATCACTATTTCCTAACAGGAACCCACTTATATCTATATTTTAACAAAGGTAGAATAAGTTTCAAAGTTCTTACTTACACAAAATTAATATTGCTCAGGGTAAAAATGACAAATGGAACGCAGGGAAGTTTGCGTTGGCAAACGTTTTCTATTAGGTCTCCTCTCTTATGATACGTTAGTTCAAATTGGGCTTCCTGGTGATATGAAACTAGTAGCTGTTTAAAAGATTCTGCTGTCTCCATACACACTGACCCTGTTAATAATGCCCAGAGGAAGCAAAGCTAAACTAAACTACTGATGGGGGGTTCCCAGAAAAACTGAAGATGCTGCAAAACAAAATCATTGATTTAAATACATGGCACATTTCAAAATGATATCCTTGAATTTAAATAAAATATCATAACCAGGAGAAATTCTGTTTGTGGAAGACCATTTTAGAAATTGCTATTGAAGTTTAATTTTAATGTTTAGAGTTGGTAATAATGGTTTCTTTATAAATAAAGTGTTCCTTGAGAGCCTGGTGTGTGGCTAATAAAATGCTATGGAGACTAGAAAACTAAGCGTAACATATTAAATGTTCCAAGTTACTTTTTGTAGCATTGTTCTTTGTACAAAAGTATTGCAAACAACCCACCTATTCATCAGTAGAGAACTGGCTAAATAAGCAGTGGTACACCCACACCATAGAATACTGTACAGAATAAAAAAGAACACAAAGAAGAATCTCCATATATTGATATGAAGAGATCACCAGGACATATTTTAATAGAGAAAAAACCCCAAGGATGTTGCCTTTGTGTAAGAAAGTCAATAAATAGAATATTTTCATGAAGTAATTTTCAAAGATTATATAAGAAACCCACAAAGGTAGTTATTATTAGGGTGGGAGATAGTAGACAGAGAGCAAGACTTTTAATCTTTTCTTTTTATAATGTTTTGATTTTTGAACCAGTTAGAAAATTTTATTCCAGTAATGCCTAAATGTGAGGATTAAGTGAGGTAATTTGTATGCTTGGCATGTACTAAGTACTCAATAAAGAGGTTATTCTCACTATCCCTGTTATGAAGGGCACCCCATCCAAGGGCAATCATCGTTAGAAGCTCCATAACTAAGTTTTAGAAGTATGAGTATAAGAAGGGTTTTTCTTCCTGGAGACAGTCTCATTTTCTTGTCCTTGGTAGAGTGCTGTGGTGTCATAGCTCCCAGCAACCTCAAACTCCTGGGCTCAAGTGATTCTCTTACCTCACTCTCCTGAGTAGCTGGGACTACAGGTGCCAGCACAATGCTCGGCTATTTTTAGAGACAGGGTCTCACTCTAGCTCAGACTGGTCTCAAACTTGTGAGCTCAGGCTGTCCACCTGCTTCGGCCTCCGAGAGTGCTGGGATTATAGACATGAGCCACTAGACCAGCCTCAGAGGGTTTTTAGGCTGGGTCCTCCATCACCACTACCTTTGACTCAGTATAGTCCTTGTCAGTCAGGACCATTCAGTCAGTACACATCTAAATTGCATTTCCAACCAGCTAAACCACCTAGACCTTGGGTAGTTTAATAATCCATAGTATTTGTAAAGTGCTCTTACCTTTCAACATGTTTCCCCAAGACTCTCATTTGATCTTCTCCATAATCCTGTAATACATAGGGAAATATGTAAGGCCATTAATGATACACACACACATAAATCCTATAGTAAGATCGCATTTCTGATCTTTTTGGAACCTAGAATATAGCTGTAAAGACAAAGCAAACATATCAATACATTGGAAGATATGTAATTAAGAGCAGAATACATTGGAAGATATGTAATTCAGAGCATCAGTACATTGGAAGATATGTAATTAAGAGCAGAATCTTACAGTACAGTCCTAGCAAGGAGAGCACTCGGTTGGGAGAGTGATGGGGTGTCAGATCAGACTTCACTGGAGAAAGCAGAAGGACATTTCAGACTTTCTCTTTTGAAAATACTCTCCCTTCTTTCTAGTTGTTCCTATCTCCTCTCTTTTGAGAGTCTTTTACAAGTAGACATCCGAGTTTTTTTTCTCATTTTTCTTATACAAAGCAGGAAGGCTTTGTATATAAATGACAGTTGGCTCTCTCTTTGTGAAGCCTGGGTTCAGGAGTGTCTCAGTCAATATGCATTTGGTTCTGAGCCCAAGAAACCAATTTGAGCAA